ATCTTTAACTGCATCCGGGCTGCAGTCTGTAGGGGCGTAGACGGGGACGACAAACAAGGCACCCTTAGCGCACTGATGCCTGCACGTTACATGAACCTCTTATTCTGACTGCACAAAGCCGACTATTGACTGGGATCCAGTCAAGCAGAGCTGATTCAGCCCTGGCACTCAGTACAAACCCAACACCAGCTTGACCAGTGGCGGCAGCTTCTGGGTCTCCGGAAAGCCGCAAGTGGTATTTGGCGTCAGAGTTTACCGGAGAGGCCATTCTGATGATGGCGCTAGAGTCTTGTAATCTGGTCTCTGGAAGGCAACAGATGTCTACCGAAAGCGTTTCAAGAGTACGGGCTAGACATGCTTGTCTTCCGATCTGCATCAAAGTCCGAACATTAATCGCTGAGAGAACGAATGGAGAACCAGGTCGAAGAAGAGCTGGAGCTTCGGTGGAGTGAAAGGCGGTTGCGATCGCAGGACATTGAAAACCGGGAGTTTGGCTGTTACTTGCATCGGCTGCGAGACGTGGGTCGTTTGTGACGGTGACCGTAGAAGGCATAAGAGTAAATGTGGGTGAAGGACGGGTGGTGGGGTGATCTGTGAGTGGAGGTTGAGCAGTTGAGTTAGCACAGAAGATAGGCATAGCAGTAGCAGTAGTAAGCGGTGTGGTCCCCACCTTGCAAAAGGCGTCTCAGAAGCATGACTCGGTTGTACTGGTACTGAAAGAAGTCGGATGCTCAAGACAAGCAGAGAGGGCGTCGAGAACCGGCAATAAACAATTCAGCCTTCTTCGCAGAGCCTTCGGTCGGTTTGAGCTCTCAATCTTTCCACAACTGCTCAACGCCTACGTGCTATCGCACCTGGGATATGATATCCAAGCTTGGCACTATGGCAGAAACTGATTCTCCTTACTCTCAAGTCTCGTTAAACACGAGCAACCCAGAACGTCAGTGGCCTCATTCCTCTGCCGTATCAGCTTAGACAGAAGTCTCTACGAATGTACAGCACTCGGTATTGGCATTTGCGTGGGGAATCCCATAATGCTATTACAGCTTCTGAAGAACCCAAACCGTATTTGCCCTCCGCTGCTGGAATTGTACCACTACATTAAGCTGAGATCTCCCCCTCCGCATTTGACCATACTGCCTAGGCGGCTTGAATGACGAAGACACTTCTTTTCCTTCCGAGTGTGTCAACCATCCGAACGCTCTACCAGATTATTTCGTCTCCGCCAATTATCTATCAATATTTAAAAAGAATTGATGGTAAATTGTCTCATTTGCATTTCATTTTCTAACTTGATATCCAGGGGTTGCAACACGCGATCAAACGGTGTGTTACCAAATTACCAACCAACGGATTTATAGATTATACTATTAACACGCAAAGGATTCCGCTCTTCCACATGAGTCTTTGCTGACTCCAACAAACTCCTTTCACTTTATCAAGAATTTTTAGTTTTCACAATAACTTACATCCCACGGGAATTGCTAAACAATGCAGGTTTACCCATACTACACGATTGTTCCATTGTTCTACTCTGTCGAAAGTTTATAAACTTAATCCTATTAGACTGTCGAATGTTATCTCCCGACTTGGTATCACTGTTCACTAGGGTACTACTGTTAGAAATGGTCAGCTTTCCTTTCGCCTACATTGCGCAACACAGCATGACCTCAGAGCTACCAAATTGTTCGTTGAATCAACTGCTGCTCAAGTGCACGTACAACGTGCAAGCGGTTCAACAATTAATTGTACAGGAAACCAGACGAAGTGGCATTTGGATTTCCTGTTAAGCCACGTTTGGCCGAAATCTACATTCGCAAGTTGTAAGATGGTCCGTTTTGAACCTGTTATTTCCACTTTCTGGTTCGACCAACGTTATGTGGACGAGCTATATTTGGTGTAGTAGACCAAGTGAGCAATTTTCCCGATACCATCAAAATTTTCCGTAAGGCGTGCACAACATTAGTGGAAAGCAAACATTGATTGAGCTATTTGGAGTCACGTCTATAGAGGTGAGCAGATGAACCAATCCAGTTGTTATTGTGCAGGAAGCCGTACTGGACGGGACAGTACACACATTTCTACCGCTCTGTATCACTCAGTCAAAAGAGAACACGTGTATACGTTAAATAACTGTCCACGTATGATCTGCCGTGAAGATACTATTGGCGTTGAATCGAAGCGACTCAATGCCACCCTACTTAAAATGGTTATCCAGTGCGCATCGTTGTCTCCTCACTGTAGTCCACCGATCTGAGGCAGATCGTACAAAGGGCTGAGAAAAACCAGGTGTTCCTCCATTTCCCCTTAAAATTAACAAAGCAATTCTGGTACATACTCAATAATTGATACAAACCTGTGGAAATACCTTTAACGCGACCTCCCTCATTGACATTTATCAGAGCGAATCACTTTTTGTTCAATGGCAGATGGTACCTAAGTTCATAGAAAAAGCGCCTGATCAAGTCCAATCAATGGTGATCTACCGGCACAAATGTTCTTGGGCGTACGATCAAGCAACCAGAAGAACAAATCTTAGTATAATTCCTGAAATCGCTTATCAACCGAAAGAGTCGAACTAACTTTAATGCAATATCTGACTGCATGATCAGTACGGGGAACATTGTTGACAAGCGTAGTGCCTTCGAAATTATATCTGAGGTGCTGTCCTATTGGAACTCTTTACTTACAGGATGGTTACTATCTATCGCTGATACGGTAAGCATAATATTGACTAAACGAAGCATCTGCACCCAAAAGAAGCTTACAGCATAAACACCACATTCGAATTAACCTACTCTGCTGCGGTTTTGGTTGCCAAGAAATTATAGCAAAAGATAAAACAAAAGTTAAGTACTTAAAGTACTTGTTTCCACTAAAACACGGAATAAATTGCGGTGGTTTCCTTGAGTGTTTCACAGACGTCTAATGATAAATAAGCAAGATTTGTGGATATCACCAACTGAGCTTTCACCCAACAGCGGCTCAAAATTACCATTGAGATTCTATCCCCAAATTTAACCCTCCTAACTTTCCTTGCAAAATTACAAGCAAACGAATTTAGTTGCTTTAATACATGCTCTACAACTTTACGTTCGATACAACGGTGACGCCTGCATTTCCGGTTACATACACACTAACAATTCTTAAGAGGCGAAAATCTCTATCTTCTGGGGGAACATGAAGTAATTGATGGTACCATATCGTTAACAGATACGATTGCAAAATGTCAATACTTCACCCAATTCACCATCTTATCATCTAATCACCTCAGTGTCGAAGCTGACATCCGCTCCTTCCGAGAAACGAGGCGAAAGCTAACCTACCCACTCACATCAAATGCGAATATGACACTGAGTACCACCATGTCGAACATAGGGTAGCTGTGACATTTCTTGATGCATCGAACGAAGCACACGTGCATACCGTTCGATCATGATGTCTGCCGCCTAACCTAGGTTTCCTAAATGTGGTGAGAGGCTACTTTCTTCGTTTTGTGCCGATTTAGCACTCGATCTCACTGGGACTCATTTCAAACTTTGACTAACAAATCAAATGCTTGGAATGGGTAGCAGCAATTAACATTCTTTTTCCATTAATTTCAATAAAACTAGCGAAGAGCAGTACAATGGCACAATGATTTCTAGTGGGTAAAATAGCACAAGCATACCATATCTAATAGGTTGGTAATAGAAAATGAGGAAATGCAAATATTACGTAAGTGGACAAACTAAAATACCAGTTGCTAAGGTTATAAAGACGGGCGGTTACGTGAGATAGTATAGGGAAAATCTAATAAATTTTATGCTGAAATATCTGATAAAAGGCTCACTTTTCTAACAGTTGACTCCGAGGGACTTACCACATTCTCCTCGACTTCATGGAATGCTCAAAAGGAACTACGCGAATTTCCCGAACGTCTTTAAACGGCACACGCTGCATCTGCGGTTGTTGGTTCAAAATGAAGCACTAAACTACCTGATTGGAGGATCATTTTGAGGCATTATTTGTGTGAATGCATTGCGACACACGGTCTCAATGTGGATGGTAATTCCCATCCAATTGTAGGTTGGTCAATTAAGTCCATGTAACCGTAGCTAACATTGCTCTTGTTCATCTAAAATGCAACGGTTATTGGTCAACAGCAGCTACAAGGGACCGCTGTGGAGCTCGCTAAAGTGAGCTGAAAGTGAACAGAACATTGGTAGTAATTGTGCATTTCTTGTGGCACTTTGAAAGCGTACCCACGAATGCCGGCAGTTAAAGGAAGCATGAGCCGGCTCCAAATCAACTGCCTCCCATCCAATTTCAACACGGATTACAATGTATTTCTTGGGTGTATGTGAGACAATTTTATTACCTTAGTTGATACCGGTGAGTAAAATTTGGTTACAATCACAACTATAAGCTCATGGGGATTGAGTTGCCACCAGCCATGATGACCAGTACTGGGACGAGTGAAATTTCGCCGTGGTTTGTGAACTTCTGTCTTTTATGACTTACAGAATCTATTTAGACTGTATATATCATGAGTGTAATTGTCACTGCTTTAATGGGTGCTGCAGGCATTGCACCAATTTAAAGAAGTCGACGGTTTTGTCAGTGGCTATCAATTGGTGGTGCGCAATTAGTTCCTTGAAAGCAATCATGGACAGGAACGGCAAGCGAGAGCACTGTCTGTACACACACTCAAACACATGTTTGTGTCAAGATATGTATATCACAACAGATGATACTTGCACACTCTGGGGTCTGACTATGGCCATCAACGAAGTGTCAGAGGACGGTGGCCGGAAACAACACGTTTTTATCTGATGCCTTCTCGTATTCGTATGAATCATCCGAAATTACCGTCTGAAAACTTGTGATTATGGAACTTGGTGATCCGGCCTCAACTTGCGCCACAAACTACTCATGTCAGAGAGACCAGGCACAACCGATTGTCGTCGGGTAATATATAAGATGGATTCACAAGAAAGACATTTTGCTTGCATCTCAAGATGAGTCGGGTGAGTTTTACTTCGTTCTGCATATAACTACAGAAGCTTTATTCTTTGATCAAAACTCTTTATAAGCATCAATTATTGTGTTGTCTTTCAGCCGGCTGCATCCCACACTCCAATAATTGCCATCGTACTCCTGGCTTTGTTGTGGATGGAACCAACGGAAGAGCTAAAAGTAAAAGGGTGTTTGACAATGGTCGGGGAGATCGTAAAGCACTGCTACATTGGACCAAAGATGCCTAAAGACTGTTCAAAGTAACATCATATTAGCACATTTTCTCTGGTTGATATCGCATGACCTTCAAATTGTCTACCGACACATTGGTTATCTATTCTATCTTCTGACTCGTTTGATGCGCCACATTGCGTTCTATTTTTACAATGTACCTTGTCTACTCAGGTAAACTGTCAAATGCCCTGTTTGGGCATCTATTCTGGGACTGGTATGAGTATGACCAAAACAAAATAGAAAGAGGTTGTGATGTCTAGATATGACATTAAATATTACATTACATCGTAGATTAATGTAAGTTCAATCTGTGCATCTTTATTCCTAATATCTTACAATCACACAGTGGGAATGTTCGACAGGGTTCCATTATACGACCGATCCGTGTGTCTTTGGCTGTCTCAATCCGTGTGCTTCCTCACGTCCTCATTATCGCGTCAGCAAGTAGCAGTGAACTGCAAATTGCTGTGAAATATTTCGACTCACACACCTTCACACTGTGCACTATAGCTCCTCCATCCGAGAACGAATAGTCTAACACATGGTGATCCGATAGTTCCTACAATCTGATACCTATTTAAACGCGGCCCGTTTAGTGAAGCCTGTACTGGTATCTTAGGACACTATGAAATGTTAGTGGCCCATAAACAAGTGTCGTGTGATGGGCGTGGCAGATTTTGCACTAGATGAGCCGTAAACTATGATCGTATCAATCTAGAATACATCTACCATTGTCAACGCAACGCAATTCAGTGGATCCCTCGTTGTGTATATCGTTGTGTAGACACCATCGGGTGACCTAAAAATGGTGCTTTTTTCGTGTATGAAACAACGCATGTGGTGTGTGGAAGATCCAGTTAATATGAGGAAACTTTGCATCAAGGTGTATTGGGTACATTTGTGTTCCAATTGCTGTGACCCTTCGAACTGCGACTTATTTATTCTGAGCCATCAACTCAACCAGCCAACTATTCGACCAAATCAGTGGGTTCCGACCAACTCCTCGGTTTTCTCAGTCGAATAAACTTAAAAGAGAGCGAAAGCGTCGGGACGTATGAGGTGATGTTTTAATCACACAACTACGTGCTCACGGAGGTATGCTCATAGGCTTATTTAATCAAGTTCCAGTTGCATCTGAACCGCGGTCTACTTAACATAGATCAATCTTACACTTCCTGTCTACATATCATTCTAAATATCTAGAGCATTACGTTTATACCTGATAAGCAGAGGTAGGTATTTTAGTGAAGTGGCTTCTAAGAATGGGATCTATCTGATGGAAGGACTTACCGTCAACGAGAAATATCTCATATACACATTTATTTCATTATTGGTTAATTATCAGTAATCGCGATACATAGAAAGACCCCTTCATTTCCCCTGGGGCATAACACTCTTCAGTTACATTAACTATGTCTTTTTGTAAAAATATAGTATTTATGTATTTTTATATCATTTTGGTGTCTCATATGGTTTAATTAAAACAGAAAGAAAGGTCTTACGAATTTACTGAAACCGAAGAAAAAGAAGAAAAACCAAGATAGCGCCAAACTCCTCAATGTGTTGGACGGTTTGTGCAACAAGTGTAAGGGGTGCAAGAAAGATGCCAAATCGTGTGCGATCACACGGCTCAGCGTTGGGTCTCTCAAGCAGTGTGACTTGGCCCAGCAATTGTTGAAGGGACTGAGAAGAAAGAAATGATCAGAAAACACTCTGATTTACTTCATATTTCCTTCTTCGCATTTTGTATTCTGTGCTCTTTATTGCCTGTGTTAATTTACTGTGCGAATATATTTAACAAGATATTGGTGGCTCAGTTCTACGGTTTTCATGTGCAGTCTATAGTGACGATGAGATGACCAGAAGTGACATCTCAGCTTGACGGAATGTTTTGAGAGCGGTATACTATGGCACAAATAGGCTGTTAGCTTTGAATTGGTATCATGCCAGTTGTGAGATTTCAACGATGGTAAATGAAGTAGCTGGTTATCATTTTCTTCGGTAATATGAAGTTGGTGTCTCGAGTATCCAACGCATCCATATTTTGAGTCGCACAGGGCACTTGATTCCAGTCCAGCTATTTGCACTAGCAATTCAGCGAATGATACTTTCGGAATGTTCTTTCAATTTGTTCTTTAGTTGGCCAGTATTGTCCTCTCTAGGGTTACGTTTCTTTGCTCTCATTGCCCGGTGTTGTGCAATTCTTCTAGTAAAACGAGCACATCATACCCAGTTTCGACATAATACCTATCAGATGGAGCGGAACAAATTGGGACCCACTGTTTTTACAAATGCTGATAATACCATCGACGTTTCTGTGTAGCTGATATTGCGCCGTGGTACAGATTGCTAGTTTCTATTGATATTACTGTGGTGTGTGTGTTGGACACCCATACATCAGTGGTATGTGTGCTGCGTTTGCTTCAAAGGAAAACAGTACCAAATCGCGGAGTGCGGTCATGTGGAAACATCCAGAGAACACTCTGTGCTTAACGGACCAAGTGAGAGGGTCTTTAAACATCAAAGGCGTTAATATTTTCGGTTTGTCTCGACCCAAGTATTACAAATCAGCGGAAGCTATTTGAGAGATAGAGTTTGAGGAGGTGCGTATGTGGACATATGAAATGACCGAAATGTCCTTAACATAGAAGCAAAGTCAATATCCTAGTAATTGTGCACTATTCACGGCTATTGAAAACACCAGAAGCATAACACTGCGCTGTACCAAGAGTATGTCAAGATTAGGCATACGAATGGGACCGTAGTAGCCTGTGCGGCGAATAGCGAATACTGCGCAAGCACCATGAGGGACCATGGTGCATGCAACATCAGCATCAGCATATGATATGGTGGTATCCGTATCCGGATTTGCCTGTCACCGTAGCCTCCATGGGGACAGCCACAGGACGCACACACACACACACACCATATCCGGTGTAAGCCCGAAGAAATAAGACCGGGAGGCATGTGGATGGGATCCACCTTTCATCCACGTAGCCGCCCTACACTCTTTCAACAGGCATAACAGAAACATTCCCACCTGATGGGAAAATCATGCACACCAGACGTACACATAGCGGTGGCTGGGCTGTAGCTCGTTCCACACAGCATGGAACCAATCTTTGCGCCTAGCACCGTTACGAGGACGGTGCACCCCGTCCTGTTCAGCAACAACCAACCGTTTCCTTAGAGCCAGTATGGACGAGATAGTGAGTAATAGACAGGTAAGCACCTTGTCAACATTCACATCAGGCTACACTAGTAGAAAGCAAATCAACAGTAAAGAAAAACGGTGTAACACGGAAATCAACAAAGCAGATTGTGTAAACGTGTTGTTAGTAACATAAGTGGTCGTTTTAAAGGTTAAACCAACGGTAAACTCCAATGTTGTAACGTGATGGAAGAGTGTGGTTTTATGTACACTACAAGGGTTTCCTCCTAGACAACTGAACAATGAAAGCCATGGATGTAGCTGTTAGTGTGGGAGAAACGGGAGGTGAGAATGGGTGCGAATAGTAACATTGGCTTGAATACAGGCTTCCAAGATGGGGTATGCAGCGGAGTTTGCTGGGTCCAGTCACTTGTTATTTATTATTTATGATGATAGTGTATCAAAGTGCCTAATCATGGGGCTGTCAACGGAAGGCTCATCGGACTTCAAAATGCCTGGCAAGTCCAGAATAAATGGCCGAAAGGGCATGTCCTCCGCCGTAAACCCGACGGTGTCGTTGGGAGGTGTCACCCCCACACACACACACACTCGTCCACAATCCTAGTCCCACGAAGAAAATCGCGAGTCCTCGTCGATGGCGCTTATCCAGGCTTTTTGGGACCAATCCGTATGTGGCCGTAGCAGTCGAGAGCGACTGTTTGTTCCTTGAGTCAGGAATAGGGCCTTGAGCAGTCTGGTGAGTCATTCGAAGGTTGCTTTTAGAAGGTTGGCGAGTAACTTGAGGGTTGTGTTTCAGGAAGATAGAGCTCAGGGGTAGGCAAAGGTCGAACTGATTGGCTTTACGCGGGAAAGTAAACATGGAATTCATGATATAAAGCGCATTGCTTTTTAGACTTTCAAAATATCCCGGGATTGTCTTGTCAATTTTTCAAAGCATTTGTGGATGAGACACACGACTACCACTTAAGACGATCAATGCGAGTTAATGGAAATTGCAAATGTTTACAAAATCTGAAAAACGGACTAGCCGTTCGACCTGTCTACCACGTAGGTCGGTTGCCTTTTATTGATGTGCGGTAGGTGGAGGTCCAACGGGAACGGAGGGTTCGGTGTATTTAGTGCTCGGTAAGTCAACGCAGCTGCGGGTGTTTGTGTGATGGCATCAGGATTGGGTGCAAGTGGTTCAGCAAAGAAAGCCACTTTGAGGCGGTCGATGGACACAGTTGTTCGGTGACCATTCTGGTCTAAGTTGACATGTTTCGGAGTCCGTTGCAAGACCCTGAAAGGGACGGTGTAAGTTTCTGGAGTGTGAACCTCACAACATCGGTCGAAGGCTGACGTGAGTGTTGGTAGGGAGTCTGCTGTGCATTTGCATATTACTGGTATGCTCACGGGGTGGGGTCGGGCGTAGTGAACGCGCGGGATAAACCAGGGCGGACGCAACGTTAGGCTGATACATACCCGACGCCGCGGGGAGCCAAACTAATTATCCTGGTAACTTTGACGTTTCGCAGTAAACCAGCTATGATGGTGCACATTGTAAAGCAGCTTTGGTACTGCTGCGAATGTCTGAGAATACGAGCGAACCGTTTTCGTTTTAGCTGCGGTAAGATGGGGCACAGAGCGAGGCTTTTATTTGCCTATGGAAGCGTTCGACTAAAGCGTTGGCTGCTTGGTGGTAGGCAGTGGTATGAATGCGAGGAAGACTATAAGATTGCAGAACACATTGAAATTTTGATGATTCTAAGGGCGTTACACGGTCAGTTGTGATGGTGGATACGCACCCGTAGTGCGAGACCAATCGAGCTAAGAAGGCCTGGATAACAATCCCAGCTTTGCAGCCGGTTGCAGGAATGACCTCCGGCGATTTGGTGTAGCTGGAGACACCCATAAGAATGCTTACAAATCCGCGTGTAGTAGGCGAGCGATATACTAGATATAACTACACATGGCAGAACCGGGATTTCGGGGTGGGAAATGAACCAAGAGGACTGCAGGTGTGACTATGTATTTTGGAGCGCTGGTCTTAAAGTCAAGTGCGAGCGTAGGTAAGAACTTCATTGTTTACGCGTAATTTAATATATGCAGGATGATTCATAGTGATTAAGCAGTATTTTTAAGTATTCATCTCAAATTATGATGAGTAAATAGCTGGATTACGCATTTTGTTAATAGCACGTAAGTGTTATGAAAATAAATATCCGGTGCAATTAAAAGATGAAATATATAAATGAGTCATTTAAAATATACATATCAATGTACTTGGGAATAACGAGGGGAATAGAAATAATGGGGATGAACGTAATGTTATACATGTGTATCACAAATATTTGCATGACGATATATTTTTATTTTTATTTTATTGTACACCTTAGCTAGAGGAGTAAAACCCCTCCGCTACTGTGCCGAAATACATAAAAACAAAACGAAAATAAATGCAACAGTTGCATGTCAGCTTAGCTGCTAACAACGGATGGGCATCGTCCCGGAAACCTACCAGCCGGCTGCTAGGCAATAAGAAAACTTATGATGCAAAATTATATTACGCTACGAAATGAGATCGTGTTTGGAGGGATGTCCAAAAGGGATGGGGAGAGACAAAGAAACTCACAGCAGGAACGCCACTGAGGTCGGCTCCTAGCCATGTCAGTAAGTGTATCTAGCCATACGTGTTCATCGTCATTTGGAACATAACCAGGGATCCATGAAGCTCCAACCGAGGCCAGCTCCGAAGCGAGGGCCTTCATTCCTCTCTACCAAATCATAGCTTGGCCACCCCACTTCTTACATCCACACCCCGGCGCGCAAACGACGCACGTCGCGGCAGTCAGTGGGCTGGCATGCCCAGCATATAGCTGAGCCATCAAAGCCTGGTGCGTGAAATGATAGTGTTGAGCGGTGCACTGCCCTTTTCCTTTGCCGTGAACAAGGCGTCGAACACACTGGTTGCTTACTCGGTGTTCCTACCAGATTTGACCCAAACGGCGAAGGCACCGATTTTCCAACCTAATTAGCCTCTCTATGTCTGCTTATCTAAGGGGCCAGGTTTCACAACCGTACCGTAAGTTCGAAAGTACCGTTGCATTGTACACTCTACCCTTCGGGATGAGAGTGATGTCGCGCAGCCGCCATAGGTGGCGAAGACTAGCAAATCCCTTAGAGCTTTTGCTACATATTGTGCGTGATCTCATCTTCGATCCCAAGTGCGTTGCTACAACTTCCCCAAGTAGTTGCATTTTTGAACGATGTCTAGCTGATACCCAACAAGGGTCAGCGCAAGAGGAGATCCATGTCAAGCTTGGAGAAAAGCTTTGCATTTCGATGGTGCATAGCAAAGCCAGAAGCCGCTGACAGCCAGTGCAAATCTGTCCAGTGCAGCTTGGCACGTCTGGGACCTGTCACAGATGAGGGCAATGTCGTCTGGATGCTCTAAATCAAGAACTCGTTCGCCTGGCAGTATCTCCACACCATCTAAGTCGTGTCTTGTAAATGCAATCTCCATGACGTCGTCAAGAGCGAAACTGAAGAGAAAAGGTGACTACGGGCATCCTTGTTTCATACCGCTGGATATACTGAACGGTGGCGACAGCTTGCCGTAAGCCCTCACTCTGCCCGTGCTACGCGCGTATAAAG